ATGTTTATCTCAGGTGCGACCCATGGAAGTGACTTATTCTCTATTCGGAAAATAAGATATTCGACTAAACAATGTTTCGGAAAACCATCGTCCGGATAATCGACGTTCATTCTAATCATTAAGATAATCATTCTAATGTATTAGCGAATACCAAAGCTATTTTCTTTTCATAGTATTAGATAACAAAATCTAATTTTACAGTGTACATTATCGTAATTATCAATAATTACGTATGTATTATATCGCAGTTTCTATTGTGTGTTGGATTTCATTTAAAGCGATTCAATAGCATTTCTAGTCACGCAACGTCTTGCGCTCTGAAGCTCATTACAGTCTATTTTTTCATCTAATGAAAATTTGTTCTCGTAACTGATCTGTGGATTAATATGCAAAATATTTACGGTATCTGTTAAAGAAATATATTATGGAAAACATTCCTTTTATCATTCCAATGTACATTCAGCTTTTCACATTTTTCGTATAAAGTTTTAAACGTTTATACTTTTAACACATTCAATTACGAATGCAAAAGATTTACTCTTAGATATGAGGGAAGTGCAGAATAAATACTCGGTTCAAATATTCAGTGGAGTACTTTTTTTATTGTTTCGTGTAACAAATTTTTAAGACTGTTTAACTTGACAAAAAAGTCACTCTTTAACTGAGCCGGAAGGTCGACAATCCGTTGAGAAACAATTACGAATGACCGCAGACACACACACACTGCTATATCTTGCGGTACATTACTTTCTATTCGTGCGGTGGTTGCTGGTGTTGAGCCCGAGTTCACCTGTCGCGACGCTGGCGACTTTCAGCGTCTACAGTCGCCTGAAACGTGTTCGGTCCAATCCTGCCTAAGGTTACATCCGATCCTGCCTGATCCGATGAACAAGCCTTCGAGCACGTTATAACTATAACTGAGCCTGATCGCACAGTAATGGACTATTTCGTGCGAAGATAATTCGAGCATTGCTTCACGAAAGTTTTCTCAGTCAGACGTATAGGTATTAATGTCAATGATACTTTTCAAATAAATCAAACATGACCACACACATACTTATTATACATATGTGTGTATAATGTGCATCACACGGATCACATTTTTCTATTGAAAAATGTGCGTTTATCATCTGTACGGATTTCCTCTTTCATAATCCGATAAGATATCGTAGTATGATTAATGATTAGGGCGTAACTGTTTGTAATAAATGCTTGCTCGTAGATGTAATCGTTGCAGATTGTGTGTGGTACGAAAGGTAGTTAAAACGTGTTCTAATTTCCATACATTTTCTTTTACGTTTGACAAAGAATCGTTTTGTAGTCTGAAAGTATCCTTTAACGTTTAAATGAATAACTTAAAGCAATCTCATTTATTAATAAACTGTTCTTCAGTGTCAGATTTGCTCATCACATGTTGTATTGTATGTTGCAGCGGTTTCAGACTAATAAGAATGGCAAGTAACCAGGAGGGAGAGTCTGGTGTGACAATACCATTGCAGTATGCTAATTCCGTAAGTATTAATAATCTGTATTTCCAATTATCATAACCTTCAATATTATGTATAATTAATCTAGAGACGAGTACTGTTTTCTATATTTATATAATTGATATTTCTAGCATTGGAAGTCTATATTTGTGAAGTATGACCTCGATAGGGATGGCAAGATCTCTTACCAAGAGCTGAGAGCTATGATACGTAGCTCTGCTTACTCCAATGATATTCCAGCCAGGGTGGTCCGTATAATTATGCACAAAGCTGATCTGGATGATTCAGGATACTTAGATTATCCAGAATTTATAGCTATGGTACTTCCCCATTGGTTCATTTATTTCATATCTATTGTTGCCTCAAGGTATTAATTAGTGCGTGATTTACTCAGATTCATAGGAAGGACATGCAGGGTGTGTTCGGACATCTTGTGCAACGTTATGTGCACTCGATGATTCCGCAAAGGCCAACCCCTTTGTTAGTAGCAAGATCCAGCGACATCACCGATGGACAATACGAAGAAGAGTACACTTGTAAACCTCCAGCATTGGCGATGATAATTATATCCGTACTAGAGATCATTCTGTTTTTATATGATGTTATTGTACATAAATCGTCTTCCGTCGAGGGACCAGCGGCTACTTTGTTCATTTACAATCCCCATAAAAGATACCAAGCCTGGAGGTATTTGACATACATGTTCGTGCACGTCGGGTACGTATTCTTCCCTCTATGTAATCGTAATCAAACCAGGATCACAATAGCGTCCCGAAGGCAAGTTTGAGATGACATGAGTTAGCATACCTAAGGGCCCACGCGTTACAATATATACTACTCCAAAAAATTATAGCATCACGAAATTTGTGTCGAAAATTACCAGAGTTTGGAAGATGATTACTTAGCAACAAATTGTCATAGGATAATGATTTTCCTTTCAATTAAAGTTCGAAAAGAATAAAATTATTTTTGTAAATTAACTCAAACTTGCCTAATTATTTATCTTTTTAAATTGTATAAATACGATAGTGTGGATTCAACTTCTCTCTCTCTCTCTCCCCGTAGCGCATTTCACTTGATCGTGAACCTGCTTGTGCAAATAATGCTGGGCATCCCGCTGGAAATGGTGCACAAATGGTGGCGAGTGTTGACCATATACGTGGCAGGTGTAATCGCAGGATCGCTCGGTACTTCCGTTTCAGATCCGAAGGTGTATCTGGCAGGTGCTTCGGGCGGTGTGTACGCGTTGATCACCGCCCACGTGGCGACGATTGTGATGAACTGGTCGCAGATGGAATTCGCCGTGCTGCAGTTGTTCGTATTCCTGGTCGTTGCGGCCGTTGACGTCGGCCAAGCGATATACAATCGTTACGTGTTAATAGAAACGAACGATCAAGTCGGATACGTGGCTCATTTTGCTGGTGCCATAGCGGGTCTTCTGGTAGGTATAAACATCCTACGCAATCTCGAAGTGAAAACGTGGGAGAAGGTTGTCTGGTGGGCTAGCATTATCACTTATATCGTTCTTATGACAGCTGCCATTTTATGGAATATTTTATACACCTCTTACTTCGTAAATTAAATTAATATCGCCCTCGACTTGTACAAATCAACTTTTTGCTGTCGCGTTTTCTGCAGCACTGAACTTCGTAGTGGCCACTATGTCAATTTATACGAACGAATGTTCTTATTTTTTAAAAAGGAAACGAACATGGTGCTGATTCAAGCACAGTTGTTAAAGAGAGTAATTAATACGTTGCGTACTGTGATATAGAAAGCCTCTATATAATGCACAGAACAAATAGCTCTTAAAGACGATACTCGAAAGTATTTTTACTAAATATTTTGAGTTAACGATGGAAGATGTAATATATACTTTTTCTACAATCTCGCTTTCTGTAAGTTTTTATGACAATAATTATACACGGTGAGTCAGAAGTAGTACATAAAGTAATTTGTTTAATGATTTTACCAAAACAAGCTGCGTGTCAATTTATTAGATGCAAAATTGTATTTAGACAAATTCAACTATCCTTTTATTTTTGAATTCAATTACTAATAAAGAATTTTAATTATCTCTTACTGACTTGCCTTGTGTATCTTTCATGACGGTTGTTAATGTGAAGGTTTTAGTTTTGTAATATGAAAA